AAATGGCCGATAAACCTGTGGGCCTTACACCTCTGCTTTCTGTTCATTGTGTGCAGTTAAGGTTTTAAAGTGCTTAAGGGGAGACACGGGTATGGGAGGCCGAAAATTTTCCGAAAAACCGATTTTTTGAAGTTTTTTTTTCATAATCATCAAGGTCTAAGGAAGCTGTTTTTAAAATATTATAGCCCTGTAATGCGTATTTGTCGAGTTATTGGGTCGCAAAGTCAGTTTGATTACCATTTTCGCTTCCGAAACCACCTCGAAAACGGTCGTGTTCAACGCCGCAGCGCGCGAGAACCGCACCAAGTAGCGCGGCCATTTTATTCTCATTTTAAAAACGCATTTTTATATTGTCTGTTCCTAGCAGAAGAACGTTTTCCGTCTAGCAACAACAAAGCTTTCGCGCATGAAAAAATTAAATACTCGTACATAATTGGTGCGTTTTTGTCAGGTGGGGCAGTTTCCGGTTTCCTATTGGACGCCAAGGGATTCGTCTGCTAGACAGCGGCGTGCAAGCCGCCATTTTGCATAGAGGCTGTGCATTCGGTGCAATGGCAGGCGGTCATCGGAAGTTCCGGAGTGCTCATGCGTTCGCAAAAAGACGAAAACGGCGTCCGAGAGCCCGCACCTTATCACCAGCGAGACCTTCTGCCGCCGAGAACTCGGAAGAAGCAGGCTGTGCCAGCGCTATCACCGCCGCGGCACCCGCGATCGCGGACGCGATAGCCGCGTCCCAAGATCACACGAGAGCTGTGCGTGTCGACACTCCCCTGGTTCCCGACGCTGAAAAAGTGGCCATCGAGTGTCGTGCGAGCGATGTTCTGCAAGATCTTTCATCGAAGTCTGCCACAAAACTCAAGTGGTCTTTTTTTCGAGACTCGGATGGAGCCGCAACGCCTGGTATGCCGTTCACCGTCGTTAGCTTAGAGTTGGTCAACGAACTTCTTTAGTGTATGTAGTGCGGTGTGTGTGGCGGGCCTGGCAGAATCTCCCAAGGAAGACCGCGAATATGGCATAGCCGCGAAACTTGTTCTCACATGTGACAAGTGCTGTAAACTGAGGACCGTATGGAGCTCGCCGAGAGCAGGGGGGGACGCAGCGCACGGTCCCTTCGAAATTAACGTGCTCGCGGTTCGCGCGGCAATGAGCACAGGAAACGGGCAAACTGCGCTCAATGATATTTTTTCCGCCCTAAATATTTCACGGAGAGGCCTGCACACTAAGACATACCAGGATTATGTGAAATTGAAAATGAACCCTGCCGCGCAGGAGGCTGCCGCGCGCGTTATTGACGACTGCGCGATCACCGTGAAAACGGTGTATTCCGAACTCAACTATGGAAATCCTGGAAATATCGCCGTTTCCTTTGATGGGACTTGGCTGACCAGGGGCCACTCATCCCATATTTGTGTAGGGACCGTGATTGAACTATTCACGGGTTATGTGCTCGACTTCGTCGTGCTATCGAACTTTTGTTTTGGCTGCCAGCTAGGGCCGAAGGAGGACAACCTAAGGTATGCCGAGTGGCTAGCTGGTCACACTTGCCAAAAGAATACCTCCAGTAAGCCAGGACAAATGGAGGTGGAAGCAGCGCAAATTTTATTTGGCCGCTCATAGGAGAGACATGGGCTCCGCTACACAACCATGTTGTGTGATGGAGACAGCCGGGCCTTCAACAGTCTGCAGGAAGCACAGGTATATGGCTTCGTGCCAATAGAAAAAGAGGACTGTGTCAACCATGTGCATAAGCGCGTGGGCACAGCACTTCGAAACCTCCTGCAAAAACAAAGAGCCGAAGGAAAGCCAAGCCTTGGCGGCAAGGGAAAACTGACAGGGGAGCTGGCCACAAAGCTCACGTTATATTTTGGATGGGCTTTACAAAGCAACCAAGGAAGCATTGAGGCCATAAATAATGCTGTCTGGGCAACCTTTTGTCACGTAGCATCTACTGATGCAAGCCCTCAGCACTCTCACTGCCCAACTGGTAAAGAGTCATGGTGCAAGTTTAACAAGGCTGTTGCCAAGCAGGAGACTCCTCCGAATCATCGCTACAACCTGTCGGAGTATGTGGTTGATGCCTTGCGGCCTATTTACACGCGCCTCTCTGACAAGAAATTGCTAGAGCGTTGTCAGCGAGGCAAAACACAGTACCCAAAAGAGAGCCTGCACTCCGTCATCTGGTCGCTCGTGTCCAAAAACAAACACTCGTCGCTTTTCACCATTGAAGCTGCTGTGGCTGAAGCTGTCGCAAGGTTCAACGCTGGCAAAGGGAGAGCGATGCCGCCATATTGAAGGAGTTGCACCTGCAGCAGAGTGTTGTGGCCGCTGAAAGTTGCTCAGAAAAGGACAGTCGTTGACTAGTGGCATCGGAGAAGAAGCATGAGCATGCTGAAAACTTCAAGCATGCCATGAAAAGAAAGCGCACCAAGGAGAATGATGATGACTACATTCCTGGTGGCTTCTAACATGGTTAATACACCAATTCACACCTTTTCTTGTTAAATATAAGTGCTCAGCATGTTCCTAAACTTCTTTTCTCGTTTTCTCAAAACAACATTTTTCATCACACCCTAAGCCATTGCCCACATTATCTTTTGATGTAGCAGTCGGATTTTGATAATTCTTGCAGCATTTGAAAGCCTATACATTGATTAGTGCAAGAAAACCCCCAAAAAAATATAATATTTTTATTTACAATAGTGATTTAATTAGCAACAAACTTAAGGAGGTTTCAGATTTCTAATGAGTATACTTGTTAAGGCCATAACTCTGGTACCAATGAAGCTAAAAATAAAATTCTGGTTTTGTTGCACTCCCTGGCCTTCATGGAATGCTGTCATATCAAATTTGTAGCAATATTTTATGAGGAAGATGTCAAAAGGCTGGGCAGAATGCAAGTTTATGTAACAGTCAATATTTAAAAATCTAAAAGTGATAACAAAAAAACTAATTGCATATTTGTTTTCAGCTGTAAAAAATACATATTGTATTAAAATTTCAGCTGGAAATACTGAAAATTAAAAAAAAATCAGACCAGTGTCTCCCCTTAAATAATTTTTAAATGTGAGAAAATCAATGCCTAATAGTGATGTGTGGTGTCACATCACCCACAGTCATATATATTAGAATTTCTGACAAATGAAACTCCTTGATAATTCAAACAGAATTCAGAGGTCCCTTTGAGGTTGAATTGGCGAGAGTTGACTGTACTTGTGGAATACTTTAGGAAAAATACACAATAGACGAAAGGAACACAAACGACAAAGACGAGCACTGTAATTTCAACAACTTTTATTGGAAAATCGCACGTATATGTATACGTATGTTTAGAATGTATTTTTGCGCTGTAGTATGCCACAAGTATGTAGTAACAAAAAGCTCAACTCGTCACTTCAATCAAATTTTGACCACCAGCGTTTTTATAGTGAGCACCAAAATCTCTCACTTGGCGTACACCAAAATGCAGATGCCAAGGCCAGGATAGTATCCTGTGACCTCCGGGTGAGCAGTTAAGAACTACTGGACCACCATGGCGCACACAGTTAAACTTATAATTACAGAACTTGCAGCATGTTTTATTGGTGACAACAGTCAATATAGACTCTCTCTGAAAGCTGAATTTGCACTGTGGCTTGAAATTGAAAGTGGAAGGCACGCTCCACACAGAGGCCCACTTTACGTTTTTGTACACTGCAAACGTTTTCTGTATTTTTGAATGATAACAAAAATTTACCAAGACATTGTGTTATAGCGTGCACACATGTTCATGGAGGCACCGAAGGTCGGTGTATTTGTTACAGTGAAAGCTGTTATGAGATCAGAACTCGGGTCATGCATGGCGCCCATAGTTGTCCGCCGCGCCGCTGCCACCGGTGTCCACAACCACTACCGCATGAAAAAAAAAAAAAAAAACAACCTAGTACCAATGAGGCAGTGGGGCTTGAACCTGAGTCCGCTACTTGCGACCTTAGTATTTATTATTTATTATTATTTTATTAGGTTTTTATTTTTCTTCGATGAATGAAAGTATCACCAGTAACTTTTTCTTTAATGAATGAAATTATTACCAGTAAAGTACACACAGCATGCTTGGGGCTTATACGCAAACTTGCCTGTGGCAGGCTTGATGTCTGCAAAGCAATCGCGTTAATATGCCTTTTTTTATGAGTTCTAAAACAGCGAAAGAACAAGCAGTTGTCGCACAATGCAAATAGCGTGACGAGTTGGTCGTCCAGTGCTCTAACCTATTTCATTAGCTTGTTATGATTCCCCTATGAACTGTGGTGCATATCCACTTAAGCCATAATTCCTCATCGTCGTCAGCCACTGCATGAACAACTGGCACAAAATTCCTAGCAAGTGTCTATCGAATACCACGTTTCTCAGAAGGCTGACTAAGGATAGTAAGCCAATGCCAGCCTACTACCGAGAAATTGCTTATTAAGGCCGTAGTGGGTACCCAGCAAGTGTGCTTGCATGAGTTACCCAATGAGTGTTTAGAAAAGGCTTTGAAAAGACGCTCTTCTAGGTTTCGCTGTTACTGTGCTGCACCTTCTGCACAGGCCTGGCACTTTTTTCTATACTGTACAGAGATATAGTCAACTTAAAGCGACACTAAAGTCCAGTGAATCAACAATGAATCAGTTTAGATTGATAAAGTGTTCTCTGAGAACCCTAATGCCATTAATTTCACCACCATAAGTTAATTATTATAGAAGAAAACCAAGGTCAGAGCATGACTTTTCAATTTCGGGCCGAAATCTTGGCCCGCAATGTCACAAAGTTCAAGGTGTATTCGTCGTATTTAGGCGACATTGGCTTCACGAAATTTCCTGAAACTTGGATATGTTAACAGTATAGCCCATTCAGAGGTGAATCCCATTAATTTTTACCAATTAGGAGATAAGTAGGCCTTAGACACTGTCAAAATCTAAGATGTCATGGTGCACGTGGCAACAGATACTTGCCTCATTGCACTTAGTCAAAAAGAAAGACAAAGCTATCGTAATAAGCACTATCATAGTTTATTTACATCATTACACCATCTAATTGGCCGGAGGAGTGCCTCCAGGTGGAATCACCGCTCTAACAGACGACCTTTTGGTCACGAGAGAAGTCCCCGGTTCAGGTGGTGGAGCGGGAGCAACTTTCTCTGGGAACTGCATCCGGTGTATGTCCTTGCGTGCTTCGGACAACAACACGTTTGGGAGGAAGTTAGGGTTGCGAGGCACTGCTCCAGGCATTGGAGGATACGGGTTGCCTGCAAGAGTAGAGGGCACATTGGGGAGCGGTTGCCATACAACATTTCGTTATGTATGCACACGTGAACGTCCTAAGTACTTGAGTGACATTTTAATAGGTACCCTGAACAAGGAACGAAGTTCTTTTTTAACCTTTTTGCTAGAGAGGGAAAAGAAGCAAAATGTGCTAAAACTACCCAAAAATTTCTTTCCCTCAACCTGTAGAGTTTTTTTTTCTGAATGAATGAAATGGTACTATTGTTTTAATATGATGAGGACCCTTTGTTTCACTAATTGTGTAAAAAAAAAAAGAGAATTCGTAGGTGGCTTCTTGGCATGGCAACAGAATGAGAAATGGATGCAATGAAAGGTGACGCACAAATAGCGCGACATAAGCAAACAAGTGCGGGCACCTAGTGTCAAGAACACGAGTCTGATTAGTATAGTTGCCACTGGTGCCGTGTGGGACCAATTTTGTTGATGACGAGTAAAGTCATCATAAGCCACTTTCTACAAAATATCACGACTATACTCGTCAAAAGTAACAAAAGGGTTAACATTCTCAGAGCGCCTTGCGCGCTGCATAGTTCGAAGGGGTCTGCACTTGGGAGCTGCTAGAAGAGGAGAGCACGAGGGTCGCAATCCGAGCGAAAATGTACGCTCTGCCCCCAAAACAACCGTGAAACTGCACTTCACCTGTGCAATTCAGTTGCGTTAGCTAGTATCTGCTCAAACTGTAACTACGTTTTCTCGGCTAATGCGAAAAATTATGCCGAAGCAGAGGGGATGCAGAGGGAGGGGCACTCGTTTGATCGGCAAAGCGGTGAAACTCTTTCTAAGGGGGTTTATTTTCACAAATATATGGGTATGCGTGTGTTTTCTTCAACTAATATGTGTTGATAGTTAGCCCTGTGTATGCGTGCTTCTTTTATGGTGTCCATGTTTTTACGCTGCCTTTAGCGATATCGTACGAACTTGTTCAGTGCATTTGTTGTTACACATGGACCTAATCAAGTCACAGATGCCCTTTTACCTTGTAAAATGGGCAAGATGAAAAGGTGGTGCTGTCTAAGAAATGGACAGAAAAGAAAGAAATTCCCAAAAAGGCGAACAATAACTATTTTACCTACAACTGTTTGAGTCATCTAATCAATAAGACAGCATTTATTTTATCTAGGCATAGGAGAAAATGATTAGTAAACTGAAGTATACTATTTTTTGCCACAGTAGCAGGCAGGTGGGTGTTTCAGTGCTATTGCTCCCACAGTACTGACAAGAAATGTTGTAGAGCATAATGTATAAGGCTCACGGATTCAAACACATTACATTACATTTCTTTTAATGTAACAACTGGTATGCGCAATAGCTCAAGATAACATTGTGGTGTGGTCGCTACAGATAATGCTGGCTCTGATCAGTGCATTCCAAGTTGAAATCATGCCGATATGTCTCAAACCGAAGACGGCAGAAGTGAAAGTAGTAAGACCATTACTTAGCCCTAAATTGTCCTGCTCCAATCTGCGAGTTCAATACATTTATTGTACAAGTGTGCGAACATTGTACAATTTTGAATGATGAATCGTGTTACACATATTGGAAAATATTCAAAATACTGAATATTTTTCAAATAGTTTTCGAATAACGGGAGAATTCTAAAACAATAAAAGTTTGGAACAGCTAAATGTCATCCTTTTTCTCTTAACCCCTAATGTAATCTGCATGTAGCCCAGGCTTTCACAAGAGTACTGACACTTTATTAATAGCGGGATCAACGAATGTCTTTCGTCTAAAACATCCACTTTTACTCACTTTTTATTATGCTGAAGTTGTACCCTTTATCTTGTAATGACTGAAGGTGGGGACTAGAACTGCTTTCCGCTTCATTACAGTAGCAAGTGTCGCTTTGCATAAATTGTTCTTGCAGATGTATTTAAAAGCCGATTGTTACATGCTTTCGGTACGGAGGTGGTGTTGTGATGACAGGTCGACCTGCTTCATTATATATTTAGCTGTATCCGCGGTGTTTAACTCAAAATCGTTTAGTTTCTGAGTCCTAATTTTATTTAAAATCAGACAGCAAAGTCTCACATAAATAACGTTAGTGAATGCTGTATTTGAACCTACAGTTACAAAACGTTACGAAGGCTGTGGCTACTGCTGTGCATGAGCTCCTTTTGATTTTCATAACTGGGAATTCGAGTCAATTAAAACTAACTGTCTTAGGAGGAAGTTAGTGAATGTTACTTTAAAATAAAATGTGCTGTTCTAAGAATGTTTTGAAAGTTGTCTACTTACTATTCGAACATCATTCGATTACTATTCGTATTTCATACAGTCTCATCATGAGTTCATTCATATTCGATTCGTTTCCGAAATTTCCTATTCGCACACCCTTGCTACATTGAGATCCCGGCATAGGAAGTGAGACTGACAGATACAGTCAACGTGCCCACTGGCTCATGAAACGATGTGTTGCATTCAAAAGCTGCCTCCCCTCCTCCCGATTCCCAGTGGACGTGTCCCAGACAACTGTTCCCTTTACCTTTGAGCTCCAGGGCAACCCAGTTGTATTTATAGTGGGGTCCTGGCCCAGGGCAGTTGAAGTTGTAGTTGAAAGGCGTGGGCAGTATGTGGACGCGCGTGTACGAGCCCTCGTAGGTAGCAAAGCGTGGTGCCAACACCTTGAACAGCTTGTGCACCAACTGCTTCTCCTGCGCACAAAAGATGCGAAGATTGTGAACGAATGAAATGATGCGCTGGACGTTTTTCTATTTAAAAATGCTTCCAGACAGACTACGACTCTAGCTCGCAGGAATACCTGCTTCATGTACAGTAAAAGCTTGTTAATTCGAACTGACGCGCTGGTCCTGCCACAGCCCCACATATATATATGGGGGAAGACTACAGATAATTCGAATGTGTTCATCTCCGCAACAATCAAAGTGAACTGAAAGGTGTGGCAATTTGGGCTAGTTGGTATGACATGATGATAGTTATAGCGCGAGAACTTCGTCGTCGTTCTGCTCTCTTTGTCGTCGTTATGTTTTCGCGCTATAACTATCGCTATGAACTGAGAGCCCCTGCTTTTCATAGCTCATCACAGAATTGGCTCAGACTGATCGCAACGCATCACAAAACTAAACCAAACCTAATTAACTAGAGATGCAATACAATGAAACAGAAGCATTTCTCAGCAGATGTGAATTTGGACGCTTCGCTGGAGCTTCTTGACAAGCTGCAAATGATGCTCAGCTGCAACAGATAAAAGACAAGTAAATTCATTTTACTGATTATTTTAAATAATCATTGTGTTAAATACCATGTAAATATAGGTGTAGTGGGACATAAATAGCGTTGCATACTTTGACATTAGCACTTACTCCTCATGTGTCGGTGCTTGTTTGTGGTATATCACTGATAACTTAATTCTGTTTGCCGTTCAGAGCTCCATGAACCTAATTTATGAAATCACCTGCCACAAGCGTGCCATAGCACCTAATCCGTGACAACGAGTCCAGACGTGGCTTTTGTGGGTTCTTCCTATACAGTTTGGTACGATGTCTGCTCATTCTAGTACCTGCCAACTAACTCGAAAAATTTCACAGTACCCTTGAAATTCGAATTATTAAGCTTTTACTGTACTACCAAAATAAGTGAACTTGTGGCTACATTGAACTACAAGTCTGCGTAGCCCATTCAAAGAACCCTACGCTTTGCTCATGAGAGTAAGAGATGAAATGCAGTGCCTGGCAAAAGAAACTTGCCAGGTCGCTCATTGATAGTCCATAACTGGTGCCTAAAATATGGCGGCCACATTGCCAGCTCTGTCACAAATTCCAATGTGTGCAACCCGCAAAAGCACAGCTTTCCAAATATGCCGCGACACCCCGAAGCAAATGCCGCTATAGCATGGTTCTCATCGTCATCATCATCAGCCTGACTACGTCCACTGCAGGACAAAGGCCTCTCCCATGTTCTGACAGTCAACTCTGTCCTCTGCTTGCTGCTGCCAATTTATACCCGCAAACTTCTTAATCTCATCTGTCCACCTAACTTTCTGTCTCCCCCTAGCACGCTTGCCTTATCTAGGACTAGGAATCCAGTTAGTTACCCTTAATGACCAGCGGTTATCCCGTCTACGTGCTACATGTCCGGCCAATGTCCATTTCCTCTTCTTGATTTCAACTATAATATCCTTAACCCCGGTTTGTTGCCTAATCAACTCTGCTCTCTTCTTGTGTTTTAAGGTTACACCTACCATTTTCCTTTCCATTGCTCGCTGTGTCGTCTTCAATTTAAGCTGAACCCTCTTTGCAAGTTTCCAGGTTCCTGCTCTGTAGCTAAGTACCGGCAAGATGCAGCTGTTATATACCTTCCTCTTGAGGGATAGTGGCAATCTACCTGTCATGATTTGAGAGTGCCTTCCAAATGTGCTCTAGCCCATTCTTATTCTTCTAGTTGCTTCAGTCTCATGGTTCAGCTCTGCGGTTATTACCTGTCCTAAGTAGACATAATCTTTTACAACTTCAAGTGCACTATTACCCATCTCGAAGAGCTGCTCTCTTCCCACGTTGTTGTACATTACGTTCGTTTTCTGCAGATTAACCTTAAGACCTACTTTTCTGCTCTCGTTTCTAACTCTGTAATCATGAGTTGCAATTCGTCTCCCGAGTTACTCAGCAATGCAATGTCATCGGCGAAGCACAGGTTACTAAGGTACTCTCTATTAACTCTTATGCCTAACTGTTCCCTTTCTAGGCCTCTGAAAACCTGCTGTAAGCACGCGGTAAATAGCATTGGGGAGATTGTGTCTACGTGCTTTACACCCTTCTTGATTGGTATTCTGCTGCTTTCTTTATGAAGCACTATGGTAGCAGTTGTTCCCCAGTAGATTTCTTCCAGGATGTTTATGTATGCTTCATCGACGCCCTGATTACGCAGTGTCTGCATGACTGCTGATATTTCTACTGAATCAAACGCCTTCTCGTAATCTATGAAGGCTATGCATAGTGGTTGGCTATATTCTGAGCATTTTTCTATTACCTGATTGATAGTATGAATGTGTTCGATTGTTGAGTAACCCGTTCAAAATCCTGCTTGTTCCTTTGGTTGGTAAAATTCTAATGTTGTCTTAATTCTGTTAGCAATTACCTTTGTAAATAGCTTGTATACTATGGAGAGTAAGCTGATTGGCCTGTAATTTTTCAAGTCCTTGTCATCTCCTTTCTTATGTATTAGGATGATGTTAGCATTCTTCCAAGATTCTGGTACTCTTCTTGTCAGGAGACACCTTGTAAACAGGGTCGCTAGGGTACATCGTATACCTTATGCTTATTAATCAACTTCGAAAGCTCTAACAAGTCTATTTTGTCTATTGTACTTAAGGCGTTCTTGCTTTGACACTCCCTAATGAGATTCTTTGTTTCCCGAGACAGCTTGCCAGTGTCCTGTCTAACTACCATACCTCCAACTTCCACTGCACACTCCGTAATGATACTCGTCAGATGATCATTCATTGCATCTACGCTAAGGCTGTTTTCCTCGACAAGAGCCAAGTACCTGTTTTGAAGCGAGACTCTGAATTCCTGTACTTTTTCTCTCAGTGCTAGCTCATTGATTGACTTCTTGCGTATCAGTTTCTGTCGTTCCTTCTTGAAGTCTAGGTGAATTCAGGACCGTACCATTCTATGGTCACTGCCTTGCCAAGCACTTACACATACTGCATGATGCCTGGGTGTGCACTCAGTATAGAGTCTATTTTGTTCTTAATTTCGCCAGCAGGGCTCCTCCATGTCCACTTAGAGTTCCCTCGTTTTCGGTAGAAGATATTCAAAATCCGTAAATTACTGCATTCTGCGCATTCTACTAGTAGCTCCCTATTGGAATTTCTAGTACCGATGCCATAATCTCCTACTGTCTAGTCTCCAGCCTGTTTCTTCCCTACTTTTGCATTGAAGTCTCCCATCAGTACAGTATACTGTGTTTTTACCTTACTCATTGCCGATTCCACGTCTTCATAAAAGCTTTCAACTAACGCGTCATCATGGCTGGACGTAGGCGCATAAGCCTGTACCACCTTCATCTTGTACCTCTTATTGAGTTTAATTACGATACCTAACACCATTTCATTAATGCTTTAGTATTCCTCTACGTTTCCAGCTATGTTTCAGTGGATAAGGAACCCCACTCCCAGTTCTCTTCTGTCAGCCAAGCCCCGATAGCAAAGGACTTGCCAGTTCTGTAGCACTGTATAGGCCTCATCTATCCTCCTAACCTGATGAACCCTATTACATCCCACTTAATGTCCTCTAGCTCTTGGAATAGTACAGCGTGACTTGCCTTGCTAGATAAGGTTCTAAGAGGTGCAAATATTTAAAAAATTAAAATAAGGAATAATGAAGCATTCTGTGTATTCAATTTGGTACTCGAATTAAATGCACTCAGACCTCACTATAACAAAGTTACATCTTACACAAAAATAAGTTCGTTGTAAACATGAATTCATAACACTGTTTGTATTGCAAGACTGTTTTACAATTACTTTGTTATAACTAGGAAAGAAGTGGAAGTTTAAAGGCTCATTTTCTTTGTAGGATGCAATATTATAACCAATATTTCAGTATATCATATTTCAGTATATCCATTTTCATTACATGCAGATGTGAGAGTAGTGCATAGTTCTAAATGTGAAATATTTTCTGAATAACAATCCCCGATGGGATTACCCCAAGAGGAACAAAACATCGGAATAGCAAGGGGTCATTCGTCTGGTTTTAAATAAAAAGTTTGATCAAGGCAACTCAACCTTAAATTGTCCTGATAAATCCACAAGTACTTTCCATGAGTATATGCTTCTACATGCTCAAGTTAGTGTGTATGTGTGAGTTGGCATGAGTGCTTGTGTGCGCTGTTACAATCACTTTATCGCAATAGACGTTTCGTGAAACTACTTCTGTTTGTTACACTTTCAAGTGGTCGTTTTCCAATCACCCCTGATAACATGTGCTGTTGCATGGCATGGGGGCACTATGGCTACACTCTGACAGTCCTTTACAGTAGCTCGAACAGAGATCGAATGGCACTGCTAGCGTACTCTTGAAACATCTAATAAATAAGATCGCTTTCTCACTATGTGACTTTGCCTCTTCCCGTAGTTGCCATAACAGCAGAGAACGCTCAATCAATTTGCAGCTGTGTCAACAGTCCCTGAAAAAAGTGATGAGTTTATTACCCAGAACATAAGCTTGGATTTTGCTTCCTTCCCCATCACTGCCTTGAAGAGTAGCTGGCTGTTTGATTGTTACGAGACATCACCTGCATAGGTCCTAAGTCTCTCCTTGAAGATGAATAATGACATTTACCATATGAACATGCCATCAATGAGGGCACAAGTAAAACTTAGCTGTCAAAGTTTACTGGTGAGTCCCACATGAAAGCAAAGGACTTGGAAAGTTCACACAACATCGCGCAGCACTTGAACTATTTGCGTAAGTCATAAGTTTGGTTTTGCCCACGGGTCTCTATGTGTAACATGTGTTTAAAGGGAGCCTGCAACACTTTTTTAGCATGGTCAGAAAATACTGCCGATTGGTAGTACAAGCCCCTGAGAACACACGAACCAAACAATGTGCAGCATGCAGCTTGGAATTAACTGTTGATTTTCAAAGTCAGCTAGAAATTGTTCTATCTTCTTTCTACAAATGACGCCATATATCCAAATTCACAGCCACTGGCTGATTTAAGCATCGTGAGCTGCAAAGTTACCACAACCACTGCAAAAAGTCACCAGGTACTTGCGTGTTCATGCTTGGAAAAAAAAAAAGAAGCATACTCAAGGTCATGACGCTTTCATGACGCAACTTCCTTCGCCCATGCCATCGCTCCCTGCTTAGCTTCCAGTGCACTCATCGTGAAGAGAGAAAGCAATTACCAAGCACGACTAAATGTTTCAACGCTGCTTGTACTTGAGATATTCTAAAACTTTCTTGCGGCAGCACGAAGCCTTTCGATGGTTACTTGGAAAAAGGCAGCAGGACCTCTTAAGCATTCAATGGGACTACACTGGGGCCACAGATATACTTCGAGCCACAGATAAAATTTTGCGCAGATTCTGTGTGCAAAATTTCCATAACCAACATATGAGCACTTATTTTCAACATTAGTGAAGCATATGAAATAAATTTATCCTGCTGTTTGCACCACGAATAGGATTTCTCACCTCAGCTGATCATGGGATGCACATGCATTCATTTGAGGAGCCATTCCTCTAAGCGAGGCAGCATCTCACTCATAATGTTTCAGTCAAAACTTGTTAACGAGCTCTCTTGCTTTATCTTATTGCCTTTGCGACGTTATCCACGTATAATGTTTCGTCAGCCTTGGCAATCTCGATACAGCACATAACTCAAGACTATCAGGGAAATCAATGAAGTCTCCGCACATTTATTGTGGATCTCAAAACTTTAAGTACAGCCTAAAATGACATAAATTATTCTACTTAATGTGTTCTTCAGACACTTGCTAGATCTCTGCACATTGATTCACTATATCCTAAGTTACTTCGTTCAGTGCGGTCTAGATGTCACCCAGCTGGTATAGACAGCTGTATCTGAAGTTATTCCATTCAATGCACCATTTTTGGGTGTACCTATCTCGTGCACACACAAAAAAGAATCCCTAAACAGACACTAGGGATGACAATACACACCACACCAAATACTTATGCACCTTTCTAGTTAATTTCTAAAGCTGGTTACGATTCTTTTAATAAGGCCACTCTTACTGAAACAAGTTGCTCACTAATGTTGAATTCCAATGGCGGAGTCGGAGCAAGTTTTTCTGCTCCTTTCAGAGCAAGTGTGTTCCAATGACAGAGTGAGAGCGAGAGTCAAAAGTTCCAATGAGAGAGCCGGAGGGGATTCAGAGCGGGAGTCCCTCCGTGGAGCAGGAAAAACTGCTCCGCCGAAATCGGTGGAGTGGACCGGAACTCAGCGTGAAGCATTTCCTTAAACACGTTTGCCTGCTTGGGGGCGCGGCGCGAGTTGTGTTGATAATGGGGGACGGCTCGGCAAAGCGTGCGGCAATGCTTCTGCTACTCGATAGCGACAGCAGACAACGTGGACAATAGCTGTTGCACGCTTGGCGTGATATCCATTCCACACAGGTGAATAGCGCTGAACAAGCCAACGAATGATGCGGCGATGCTGGTAAACCACGTGGGAAACAGACAGCGGAAAAGACCACGCGCAAGGTATCCTGGGTAGCGCGGCAGCTTCCGCCTTGCTCCAGCAGGGCGGGTTGTGTTCTGATGGCGGATTTGCTCTACGCCAGAGTCGAGTGCTCGCTCGCGAAGTCGGTCGGCTGCACCGACTCCGCCATTGGCATTCAACTTAAATCATTCCCTAATTGCAGCTGTAGCTAAGATAGGCATGAAAAGAAATAGCAATGTCACGTACGTTTATCCAGTAGTCCGCGAGCTCCATGGTCCGGGTGTGGCAGTCGCCATATCGAATCGCTTCTGAAATCAGCTAGATAAAGGGCAGCACCAAGCGTGTTAGAAGCGCAACGAATATTCTATATCGCAGGTTCTAACATCATGGGTTGCTTTACTGCGTAGTATAACATGATACTGTGTTAACAGCAACCTAAAGTTGAATTGTGACAGGGGCAGTGAGATTTAAACCAGAATGCACGAGGGATACAAATGCTCGAGATTGAGCGAGTTGTTTCAATGTTAGTTATGACGTTACATCATAGCACAGAGAGGAAATAGCAGAAAAAATTGATACAATAGACCAGTGCTAAATTCCAACTAAATGAAGGTTTACTTATGATATGATACAACTTATACACACAAAGCCATATGTGCAACCTGTTTCCAATTTAATAGTTTTCCTTGAACCATGAAGTCGTTCTTGTTAAATTTACATCCCTTGATGCGATTGTAACGCGACATATGTAACGAGTCTTTCACGTATGTATAAATATTCTGTATTGCCCGAGAAAAAAAACTTGTAGCGCAAGTCAGAACTTGTCCACGTTTTTTCTTTTTCTCTTGCATACTGTTTCTGCATGCACCTGGCGTGCTTGCTAAATGTTAAGAATAAAGTTCATATTTGAAGAGCAGAGAGGGCAAGACCTAAATTTTCAGCAAGTACGTACAGATGCTAGTATTTCTTAACTATCACTTCCTTGCATGTTGTGAAGCATAGGGTGTTGTGCTCTGCTCCTTTATTATCAGTTGAACACAAAAGTGTTTAGCGAGTGCTTCCATGACACAGGCAGGAAGGGTGCCTAGTGGTCTGTCTAAAAGTCAGTATGAGCTCCAAGTAAATGATCACCAATATTCTTCGCAGTACACCTCGCCACACAGAGGTCAGAAAAGATGAACTTCCGTAACTTTTCCAATTCTTGCACACCAAATTAATCACTTGGTAAGTCTCGAATCTACGTCAGTGTAAACAATGTTCACAGCAGAGTGAAAATTTGATACATGTACAAGAAACTTCTTTGTTTTCAGTTGCGATTACACAAAGTGGAAGATGTGAAGTCTGCTAGCTTTCTGATCAAGCTTTTCGTCGTTGGAGATGTAGGTCACAACACTGACTTGGGCTTTTCTGCCATAATAAATCTCTCTTCATGTTTTCACTGTCTTCGGGTCACAGAAGTACTAATGCCTGAGGCAGTTTGTTTTGCTTATCACATACCGGTGCCATAAGCATGAAAAGCTATGCATGACAAGTGAAACCTGGAAAACAAAAACCTGAAGTGAACAGTGAAGGCTGTGTTATGTGCTGGCTCTATGAAACATTGTACAAACTTTGTACAAGAAAAAAATTGAAAGCAATAAACACACATTACGTCTTTTCACTTGAACGCAATAATAGATATTATTCAAGGAAAAAAAAAAAACTCAACTGCAGCATTACATCAGTTAACTGCAGCATTACATCAGTAATTTTCACCTCAGGTAAATTGCCTCAAAAATCTTGTGGCCATTTATTCTTGCATTCTGCAGTAGCTATTCTATAGCTTAGTTCCCGCCCATCCGAAACAGATGAACTTGACAGTCTAGCAAATGTGTCTCCGAACAGCACTACCATTTCTACAGCACCTTAGCCTACTTATGCACTGTCGTTGCACTAAGATGTCTAACATGCTAACACTTTGCGCGAGTACAGATGGCGATTACACCCTTGCTGTAACACAAGCAGGATTGACGTATCCCTAGAGTATACCATCAGATTATTTGTCCAAACGCTTACTTAGGCATTACCCTTTTCTGCACCTTCGGTAAACACCAAACACTTCTGTCTGTCATGACAATGTGCTACATTTTAGAACAATCTTGGGAAGCATTTATCGTAGAATTGGCTTTGGCCTTACAGTTCTTCGTACACTTTCACTTCGAATCGAGGGCACAGCCATAGAGATATGTTTGCGCTACTTTCCTGGGATGCATTATCGAGTTAATGCGATTGACTAGCCAAACCTTGGCAGTAACCTTCAATTGTGTCACACTGATCCATACACTGCAGCTCTCTAATGTGCATGTCAAACCAAACTTCTGGGTTCATTCTTCCTTATCCACCGGATTGGTGATTACCCCACATGAAGTATATGAAGACTCAATTTCATTGGCCTATCCCTCGTAGCGGCTAATACCTTGGATAAAGAGCAAGCGAGCTAGCAAGCAACATCCATTCCAACGTCAGATTTCCACAGTCAGGCACTGACGATGCTCTGCTTCGACATGAATGCTGGCTATATACAACCAGACAAGTGTTTACTTGCGCGAAAATTCAACTATCAGGCTCGTTTTCAGAGAAAACGAATAGTCTATCAGTCAGCGATCATGATCACGGCGCTTGCTGTTGACACAACAGGAATATTTTTTCATATCGTAAGAACACCCTCTCGCCGGCAAATGTGAACAGGCGGCACACGCTTATCGGTGTAGTGGTTTCTTTTTCCAAAACTGGCCTCTAAAATGAACTTGGAGCATCCTCACCCGCTCGGCATATCCCCGCACTTCGTCTGCCCGTGGGTGATTGAGTTCGATCCGTTCGTGCTTGAAAAGGGCCGTAAGCGTTGCCCTTATCTTCTCTACGCGGCCGAGTGAACCTTTAGGTGTGGTAAGCTTGCGATGTCTGTGCTTAACGACGTGCCTTAGCGCCGGAATCAGACGGGTAGCGTCTGCCATGCTCGCCCTTCAACGCGCAGGCGGCTGCCATTGAGGCTCCGCAGAAAAACTCAAAAGCACTTTTTTCTCAAAAAATAAATAAAATTTAGCACTATAAACTTTAAAATGTTTTATTTTGACAAAATAATAAAACAGTTTTAATAAACTGTTTGTTTTTATATTTTATGTGACGTTCGTGCATTTTTTACCGCGGTGCATCCTTTCGTTATTCGTCCCGTAAGCCTCGCACAGACATGGGTAAGCGCTCGCGGTATTTGTAGTCTTTCGTGCTTTCATAGTTACCGAAGTCTGGCGCACTGCATTTGGGGAGAAAAACTGAAGCTCGATGTTCCTTATTTCACGACAAGCGGGATCGACTTTTGCGTACTATAGCCGGTAGATATGGCTAACTGTATGCCGTCATGTGGCCAGCGGACATGGCGGAACACGTTTACACGTGCAGCGTTTTGAAAGCTGCTGCGATTCATATCCTGTCAGCGATGTTCGCATTCTTTTTTGATTCGCGCAATTAAGTCAAGCTACCTGGTTGTTAGGAATGAAATATAGCGCGTCGTTGGGCTATCAACAAAGCCTCCGCGGCTGAAGTATTGGTTCTGTTTAGTCCTATGAGGCCGGCGGCAATCGATTCGTGCTTCGTTTTTGGGAGCGCTGTTAAATGTTAATTTTTGTTGTTTGCGTTATGCTAAAAGATCGTACTCGTTGCGGTGTCTAAGAAACTGAAGCGACGCATTGCGGCGTTTCGAACGTGTCGCGGGCTCGGGCCGGCTTGATTACGGCGTCGAGATGATTTGCGTGCAGTTGTCGTGAGTTCATCGTTGCATCTGCAGGCAAGCCTCGTGGATTGCGGACGGCGCGCAAGCACCGCAGCCATCGCCGTGACCAGCGGTGGCATGACAAGGACTACAAGAAGGCCCACCTGGGCACCCGCTGGAAGGCTAACCCCTTCGGAGGCGCTTCACACGCAAAGGGCATTGTGCTCGAAAAAGTGTAAGTGCACACTTCTTCAAGCCGGAAAGAGCAACCATACCATGTTAAAGAATCTCCCCTAGAGAGGGGGTCGAACTTTGCGGAGCCCTTGCAATACGGCGTCTATCGTCTAGGGCGTTAAACCCAAACTATTACTATTCAAAGGAACCAGACGTACAAGAGAGAGGTAGCACACTCGCAGGCCAAGCTACCGAATGTGCCCTATTAGCAAACACTATCTTCACGGGAAACTAGGGGTTCCCCTGGTAGGTGGTTTGGGAGGGTTCTCTTTGGACTGGGACGCGTTGTGTTGGGTGCTCAGGGTAAGACGACGAATGAGGCTGTAAGGAGGGATATGGGACGGACCGGCTTTGAATTAAGGGAAGCTCAGAGGAAAATGAAGGAGTGTAGATAGGCAGGGAAGGTGTTCAGGTATTTGTATAGGAAGAGCGTGGGCACAACGTGGAGAAAAAGAACTAGGAGACTATTAGGGGCCCCGCAACGCTTTTTTTAGGCATGGTCAGAAAACGCTGCCAATCTGTAGTAGAGGCTGCCGAGATCACGTGAGCCAAGTATACTGCAGCATGCTACCCGGAATTTACAATAAATTATCAGTCAGCTAAAGACTGGCTTCTCTCCTCTTGAGAAATGACATACGTTATAAAGGCTGGTGTAAAAGGCCGTTTATCACTGATTGGCTGTTTTGAACATGGCACGCTCGGTCGTTACAGGGATCGTCGTGACTTGTCCAGGCGCGTGATCACACCGAAAAAGTTCGTATTCAAAGAAAAAAAAAACACGGAAAAGTGCTCAAGGTCACAAGGCACACGTGACTTGCTCGACGCCACTTCACTCCAGACCAAGCACAGATGAGCAAAGTAGTGCATTTAATTAGTGTGTTCATAACACGTTTCCACCAGGCAAAGTACGTTGCGAGTGTCTGTACTCTGTTTCACACATCAGGTGCAACACTGTGGAGGCTAGCTAACGAGCCTCCTTGCAGTAGATACGTTCCTCTAAAGAAATAGTTCCATATTTTTACCACCCAGAATGTTTTTACTTGTTTTGGGCTGAGTGTGAAAGGGGCATGTTTTGTAGCACGCACGCACATATGTATTTGTAGGTGGTAGGTATGGTGAGTTCTTAAGTACTGATAGTTTAGTGAAAACCATTGCAATTTTTTATCATAAATAATTTTGGGTGATGATGGTGATCCGTATAAAGTTCCTCAAAAACTAACTCGTTGCTCCAAAACGCACCTCTTGATTGCTCTGAACCTGCTGACGAACTCTCATTTTACTGCACCAAACTGCTTCCTGAGCTGCTCTAAAGCATTGAAGTCACTTGCTGCACCCCTGTGCATGTCTGCACCGCTTAAGGGGAGACGCTCCTCGAAAAAGTTTTTTTTTATTTCTAGTAATAGAGACTTGGAAAAGTTTGTTATTAGTATAGTTTTTCATGCAGATTTCAAATATGCAATCATTTTTTGTGTAGCTGCTATAATTATTGAGTTATGCCATAAACAATAGCAAAAAGTTACATTTTTTGCGGGCACTCTTTTATGTACTAAACTTTCACTAAAAGCACTGTGTCTGATCTTATTTGACTCTTGGTAGATTGAAAAGTGCGAATATCTATATAGATATGTCACAGAAATATTGGAACCAAGAAAAAAAAATTGTATTGAATGACTTGTTATTTTCAATCTCCCTTGAAACAATAAGCTAATATTTTCACAACTAATGCTGGTAGGCATTGCAATTTAGAGTAGATATTTGCATTCTGCATGTGTTGAAGAATATGTGTGCCAAGTTTCGTTACTATACAATGAATATAAGTTTCTAAAAGGCTGCCCGGAAAACGTGAAACTGTCAGAAAAAATGAAAATGAGAAAAACAAGTTTGAAAAGTTCGCAAAGTTGGCATTTATTAGGAAATCATTCTTTTTGCATCAAATTGGGGCACAATGAAAAGTACCTTGCCTTGAATGCACTGCAAGTGTCTAGAAGTCCCCTGCACCATAGCTTGGTCCTTCACGGCTCTTGCGGTCAGTGTCCTCAACACGAGCTCTCTTCGCTGTGTTGCGACGGTGTGCCCTCGCTTCTGCAGTTTGCTTCAGGTTCATCTTCCCGATGCGCATGACGTCACAGTGGTCACCATGTGTGGGCAGATCTTGTGAGGGGAGAATTCCAATGCCTTCGAGCACTTCTTCAAAGCCCCTGTGGCCTTTGTTGTACCAGAGTACAGCAAGAGTGGTGGCTGTCTCCACAGTTGTTCTGGAGGCGAACTTTGTTTTTGGACATAGCAGCCATATCTTGCTGTTCAGCGATTCGGCTGCATTCTGTGTCTTGCCATGAAGGCACCGAATAAGGAGTTTCTCCTCTGTAAGGCGCTTGTAGATAGGCATAATTGCCAATCCTTGAGCCTTCGTCAACAGTGGGGTGTGGCGTGGTGCAGGCTCCCCCAGTGCTTCCGCACGCTTGTGCTTGCACCACGAATTTGGTCCCGCGGGGCAAAAGTTGTGGCTACTGGCACCATCACTGGAGCAGCAATGAAAATACGATGCCCATATGGCAGTGTACATATTTCGGACACTGTCCTTGTTGCTCGTGATGGCGATCTTGTAATATGTTTGTAGTTTTATTATTGTCGCATCTTTCAGTTTTTCGCCTCGTGGCAGTGGCGTTGCCAATTTCCGTAGGGCAGTTCCCAAGCGCTTTGCAACGTGGTTCGTGCACTCTTCTTTGTCAATGGGGGTGTCGCAGTATACATTTGCCTCGCAGACTGCAGTGTAGGCCGTGCTGTCACCATCACTTAGGAAGCTGGTGAATTGCAGTGGAGTTTCATAAGACAAGGTCCTCTGCCATATATTGCCAGCTGCCGCAGGTTCCATTGCATGGGATGAGCAGTCAGTGTTTTTTGGCAAACTGGAAGATGAAAAGCTCGCCATATCTCTTCATCCTCCCCAAGGTCCCTGTGTATACTGCAAGCATGGCAGTAGTTCGAAAGAACTTCAAAATCGAGGCAGAGCCCCGTGTCCAGGGACACGACTGTGCCCACTCCATTGTGGTTTTTATGACCTCTTTTCTGCCAGGTGCCATCAAACATGACTGGCACATCTCTGCCGCCGACTGCGTCCTTCGTGATGTTTCGTGCCTGGTGCAAGTTTTTGCTCACTGCCGTCATCGCCGCACCATGGAGCTTCTTGCAAATGCCGTTGAATGTCTTGTGATGCATCGGGCTCGGAAGACCGAGAATCGCACAAAATCGTGAAAGTTGGTCGTGGCCTGCGCCTATAGCACGTGCTGCCAGAACTGCCTTCACGTTTACAGCAAAGCTGTCACGCGAGCTGCCGCTGTCAAAACGAGCGCTCGTTCCTTGGTCCCCGGCCGAAGCAGTACATCTCGACGTGTGCGTGAACGAAAGTGCAGATTCAGGGCAATCAGAATTTCGACAGCACAGTTCGAGGAATGCCGAAAGTCCTTTGCGCTTTCTAGCTGCCTCTCGCACGCCGAGCTTCCGTTCGCGGCAGGTTGGGCATTGCGCACCCGCCACAAGTGCCGTCAGTGCATCGATTTCGCAAAGCAGCATGTTCGCAGTAGCAGCATCTACCGGTGTACGTTCACTCTCGAAGAATCCAATCTTCCTTTGGGATGCACTGACGAATTGCACGGCAGCGGCTATTTCACAACCACTGTCGCAGGGTTCTGTGACGGTGTTAGGCCTATCCGAAGTCGGGGCGTTGGTCGGGGGCGACATTGTCGTTCGCTGTCGCTTTGCGAAGCGTCCGACGCCGTTTCCCTCGATACTTGTGGCGAGTTCTGAACTTTCGATTATCTGAAATGCACTTCTTCGGGCTTGCCATGACGCAAAAATGCAGAGAAACGCAGAAAAACTCGATCGCGACGTCCGAGGCTTCGCTCTTTTGCCGGAGAAATAGGAGGGGGAGGAGCGTGGAGCGCACCGCCGTCCAATGGCGGCCTCGCGCTGTGTGCCGCGATATTCAAAACACGTGACTTACGCGTTGTTTTTCTCGCTTTTTGTTTATTCTGCGCGAAG